ATTTTATTTCCAGATTTTCTGCAATATTTCAAAACTCTTGAAAGGTACTATACTCTGAGATTCGTAAGGCAATTTACTATAGTGAATCTGCATGGAAAACATGTACCATTTCAATCAATATACAGAGTTAGGTATTTCGCTTTCTCTTTGATAAAAATTAATGAAACTTTTCTGAAGTCCGGCACTCGCAACATTTTGATATTTCAAAGAATGTCAAAATAAATTATCTCACTTTTTTCAAACTGCAGTTTTTCAATTATTTTCCTTTGTTTTAGGGATAAATATCGAAATTCATTTTGGTGCTTCTTCACACGACTCGTTTATGATTATCATGTTTTGCTCGTTTCTACCTTATTTGTGTTGAGTTATTGACCGCAATAATCATGTTTACCAATTCGCAAGCTCTTCATCATATGATATGAGAGCTGGTCATTTCCAAATTTCAGTTCAAGATTTCTGGTCAAAAAACTATTTGATAAAAAATAAATAAATTTGAAGATGACCAACAACATTATCATATGCTGAAATAAATAAATTTGAAGATGACCAACAACATTATCATATGCTGAAGTGGTCAATCACTCAACACAAATGAGGCAAAAACTTGCAGAACATGATAATCGTCATAATCATAAACAAGTATGGAGGAGCACCAAAATGAATTTTGTTAGATATCTCGAAAACCAAGAAAAATTATAAAAACACTGCAGTTAGAAAAAAGTGAGATGATTGATTTTGTCATCCATCGAAATATCAAAATATGGTCAGTGCCAAAAAAAGTTACATTAATTTTTATCAAAGAGAATGTGAAATACCTAACTCCCTGTATATTGCCTGAATTGGCAGGACATGCTTTCCATGCACATTCACTATAGTGAATTGCCCTTCGAATTTCAGAGCAGTACCTTTCAAAGATTTCAAAATATTGAAGAAAATCTGTAAATAAAATTGTTTTTCAACACCTTCTCACGGCTCAACAATTCATTTGGATTTCAATAGGCCTAATTTGGTCTCTAGTCGTTACCATCGAGATTAGAAGGCCAGCAGACTCTGACGTAAACAGCACGTGACGTCACCTAAGAGAGGCCAGTGTTTTATCGCTTGTCGACTAAAGCGTCAGTTCGTGTTAATTCATGTTCGGTGGTTCAGGTATGTTTTTGAAGCGTTCCCGAATTCTTTTGTTGTTTATTCATCAAAATAATTGGCGGACAAATTACTGTTTTGTGAAATGTTTTGTGTTTAAATAGGCGAAATAACAATGTCTTTCACGTATTGTGTTCCCTTTTGTTGGGGGAATTATGTGGGTGGTCCAAAAGTTCATGCTTTTAGTTTCCCGTTGGACGAGGAACTATCGAAAAAGTGGGTATATGCAATTCACTGCGAGGATTTTACTCCATCTAAGTACAGTAGTAAACGGAGCTTAATTTATAATGATGAATTAATAATAGAAGACAATTACTCTCTCATAAAAAGTATGAGTAGAGGAAAAAGAGAAAAACTTTGATTGTGCAGTTAGTTTCGTATTCGTATATTATTTATACATTTTCAAATTTCTTTCTGAAAACGGTCATTTGCTTCGTGGCAATGAATGCAGAATGCATTCCAATGATCAAATTGCAACTATCATATTAACATGTACTACAAACACTCTACTTAAAAAGGTTAAACTGCATTTATCATGTGATGGGTTTTTTTTTCGAAAATTTTTTTGGTACTTACGTATTTTTGTCTGAAAAACACGAATTTGATAATGAAAATGTGAACAAACCATTATTTATCAAGATATTTGACTATAAAGTTCTTTTTCGCCTGTCTTCTGGATGTCATTTAGAACAATTTTCCCTTCATTTTTCATCATATTGGACAATTTATATATATGTATCACAATGTATGACACATTTTTTTTATTATATGATTCAACTATAAATATGATTTTCTTGAGATTTATCCATATTTAGTGAAAAGAAGGAAGAATATCATTTAAAATAATGGCGTGTGTAATGTGATAGGAATTCTCCAAGATAAATATAGGTAATTATAACAAACGGCATGTCTATCAAAATAAAATACATTTTCCACAATTTTCTTTCGATCAATCTCACGATAAGTTTATGTTCTGCGGGCCCTGTATATAAGTTGGTGTGAAGTTTACCTTCACCACAATTTTTGCCAATATATTTAATTCGAATGGGTTGCTGTAGGTGGGTATTTGTGTTTTATTCTGGTTTTTGCTTTGAAACTTCGTTTTTCCATAATAAAATCGAATGGGATGTGAAGAAGGGCTCAGTTGACGACTGGCATCCTTTTTCAACCGGAAGCCCTTCAAAAAACAGCAAAATTGGCTCAATAATGATCTAAAACTGAAATTGAAATACGCGGTCGCCTTATAGCGCCATAAGCGCTTGTAGTTTCGAGCCGCTAGTTAGGCCTCACTAAGGTGACGTCACCACGGAGCATGCAGGCCTTATTCTCTCGATGGTAACGCTCTAGTTCACCCTGTAGAATTTATGCTATGTTCTGGGTCACTTTGTATAACTCAAACCTCCATGGAGTTATTCAATAAAGATCAAGAAATGCCTCATCTTATCCACGGGATTTTTGCTCATTGAAGCACCTATATCGCAGAAAATGTAGGTTTCTATCTAAAATAAGAAATTTGGTGTCGACTTTTGGCACACCCTTTTTAGCTGGAGTACTAAATTTCAGATATTTTAGAAACGATCGATTATAACAGCATAGGAATTCTCGAGTTTTCAACAGCAAGGTGGAAAACTGTTAATGAGTGCCCCACGTAATTCACCCAGTATAAAATATTACAAGTCTAACTGTTTCAATATTTAACAATCTGGTCGTATCAGGTGTTTCCACCCCGCCTAATTAATGCCCTGTATGAATTCATGATAAGTATGCTATTTAAATATATTGATACAGGGCTAGTAACGAATTCATCATGTATATTCTTACAGACAAAAGTTTTTTTTCAGTTCATATGTTCATATTTCGTCATCTGAATTTATTTACAAGAATATACACACAAAATTCTCAACATACTATACTATAATTCAAAAATTGCAACAATTTTACTAGAGATACATAGTATCAACTTATTGGTATAAAAAAGATAGGTAAAGTTCGTTAAATAATTTTTTCTAAAGCTTTTTTATATCCTTCAATATGAAGTTAATTTCCTATAACGAGTCTAAAGATTATATAAAATCAACATTTGATTGAAAATAAACTACTTACTGAAGATTTCAGCAATGGAAGAAAATATCTGGGAGTTTACATTTCCCATGTCTGAAAAATGCAATTATAAACAACTAACAAATCAGACTTCAGATTACTTAGGTTTGCTTGATGCTCAACTTTGTTGTCTCCCCTTATATCTTAGTATGCAACCAAGAAAACAGAAACATAAATCTATAGTCCATTCCAACTTAGAAGACAGCATTGGAAAACATAGGGAAGTGTTGACCTTTGCTTGGATTGGTTAATCTTGGAGGGAATATTACACCTGCATAATATTATGACGTGACGTACAGGATCAAGTTTTCTTAATGTCGGAAGGTAAACACATCATCACATTTGATTTATTTGTCGTATATACCAATAAATTCTTAGCTTGAACAGGAACTCAAAGTGGAAGTCAATGATTTAAGATAGCGCCAATGATTATTTCGTCAGTGTAAACATTTCTTCAGAGGCAGAGACACCTACTATCTTCTTAATTGGAATGTTGTATAATAACAATTCAGCAAACATGACTGGTAAACAAAATGGATCCCCATAATTATCATCATTACTGCAGCTGCACTAATTCTTTCAATATCCCTAAGTTTCAAAATTTTCTCGAATGGTTTCAAGGTATTAAAATCACAAACTCATTCAAACATTTGAAAATCTCCCAACTAGTTTTATGATGTTTGGACTCACGAGAGTAAAGCAGTTTTTTGAGATTCAGTCGAGTGAAGGCGGCTGCATCTTTTAATTCTTCTATCTCGTTTGATATAGCACGTCTTCTTGTTCTCGCCAATACTTGGTAATTTTGGTACAGTCTTTCCAAAGTCAAATAAGATTTACTGATATTTTTTTTTGAAAATTGTTATATGCATGTTCATATCTTTAATAGTAAAGTAGATATAACTCATATATTGCACTAACTGCTGTACTACATTTTAATAATATACCTACAATTATTCGATTAGAACCGACCTTCGCCACAGTAGAGAATGTTTTCAATAAGAAAATGTAGTTCCATCAAGTCATCTAGCGTGAAACACGAACAGCTGTACCGTGTACCGTGGTAAAAAATTGTATTTTCGTGGTAAAAATTGTATTTTCGCTACCGAGCTAACGACATGAAAGCATACAAACAAAATATTTAAATGTAAGTATCTGTGGAAAAATGTTGCTTCTAGTATACGAAAGTAACTGCAGTATCAATTATTTAACCTAAAATATCACATGCAATGTCATCAATGATATTCGGATCTTGGATCGAATATACCATGCAAAAACTTCAGAAGAGAAATTTCCGGAAAAATCTCTTGGAACTAATCTCGTAAGGAAACTTATTCCCCTGGAAATATTCTGCAGAATGCAGAATGAACTGTATGATAATTTTGAGTCCCTGTTCCTGCTCTCTTCACTCTCCCCACTCTTTCTTATCCCTCTTCTCTCCCTTCTACTTTATCTCTCTCCTCTTTCTCCTTTCCTCCCTCCTTCATACTTTCTCACTTGTTCTCTATCTTGCTCTTTTTCTATCTCTTCCTCTCTCTTCTACAATATCCTTCATCATTTTGATGACATTAATGAAGCGACATTTTTTCAAGAGTAACTGTATCTAACCTATCGATACATCTAACAATCTAACATAACCTATGTATCTACCTACCTTCTTTGCAAAACGATATTAAGCAATAATCTTCCAGAGAGCCTTTTTATTTGAGATTTTTTCCAGAAATTAGTTTGTCCAGAAAGAACATTCTTATTATTTTTTTAGAAATTTCCTCGTATTGATGTATACCATGAGCATATTATTCACCTCAAGTTTTGGGAAATATGGACAAAATGTGCTGGGAAATATGGACAAAATGGCAGCGTGGGTTTGTCTTCTCGAGGTACATGTACATGTGAAATGAGTTTGGCGTTTGTGCAGAAAGAATCTCCTGATTTTTTTCCCAGAGGAATATCCTCGTTTAGCGAACACCACTCAAGTGAACATTCACCTTTATTTTTGGGAAACACGGACAGAATGGCGGTGCATATCTTCTGCGGGTTCATCTCCTCGGGATACATTTGCATGTGATATGAGTTTGTCCATAAAGAATCTCCTGAAACTTTTCCTGGAGTAATCTCCTAGTCTAGCGGACACCATTATGAGAAGATTCACCTTACGTTTTGGGAAACATGGACAGAATGGTGGCGCATATCTTCTGCGATATCGTCTCCTCGGGGTACATCTGCATGTGATATGAGTTTGTCCATAAAGAAACTTCTGAAACTTTTCCTGCGGTAATCTAGTTTAGCGGACACCACTATGTGAACATTCACCTCACGTTTTGGGAAACATCGACAGAATGGCGGCGCATATTTTTTGCGGGTTCATCTCCTTGGGATACATGTGCATGTGAAAAGAGTTTGTCCAGAAAGAATCTCCTGAAAATTTCCCGGAGGAAATCCCCTCGTTTAGCGGACACCATTATGGGAACATTCACCTTACGTTTTGGGGAACATGGACAGAATGGCGGCGCATATCTTCTGCGGGTTCGTCTCCTCGGGGTACATGTGCATGGCCTGCGCCACCTGCTCCTCGGGAAAGATGGCCGCCAGATGGTAGTGCAGCTTACGGCGCGCGTCCTCCTGCGCGGAGGCGGTGGCCAAGTGGGGCGTACCGGCCTGGGACCAGGCGGGCGGCCACACGTTCAGCTGCGTGTCGGAGCAGCTCGATATTCTCTGCATTTGTCTGGAAATTGAAATGAGGACGTGTTCAACCTACCAATCAAAGACGTTTTCAATGCCCAACTAATAAACTATGTAGGTTTTTGTGAGCAATTTGCTTTCTTTGAACAAACCAAACATATAGCTTCACCACCGACAAATCGCTAACCCATCCAAACAACCGAAAATCATCAAATTTTATCTTGACAACCATTAGAGATCTCTTCGCTCAAATGGACTGCTAATCGCCTATAACAATAATTTATTCTCCTAAAGAATGTACAATGAGTAACGAAGGTATACATACATAAATTTCGGGCGAATAAAAAGGTATCCACAAAGGGACGAATCCCTCGGTTCTTTGGTCATCATCAAATAGCGTGGCTTTTACTATCAATAATCCAAAGAGGAAAGTAATCGGCACTGTATCATGTCTAACTAATGTTTCACCCTCGGTTTCACCCAAAATGATTGCAAAGTAAACGGAAAATCTTCGTGGTCTGAAGACACACTCCTTTCATTGAGAAGATATCCTCTGTGCCTGCACTGCCTGCATTGTATTTTAGATAGGTGGGAACTTTTCTCATGCTGTACCATTTTGTTTCTAATGACCTGTGTACCTTATCTATATTTGTATACCTATGATTTATACCTACTAACGATTTTGAATTAGTAGTAACGTATAGTAGCTTGCTCTGCTTCAATTCTGAGTATTCATCATAGACCAATCAAGTCCTTTTTCATGTTCATGCTTCAATAAGTAGGTTCATCAGCTATTGGCATTCTCACACAGTTATGATAACATACATATTTGCATCTCGGAAACGGTGAATGATAAGATATATGAAGTTGATTAAGCTAGACAAAAATTGCACATTTGAATAGGTGTCAACACACTGAAACTCATTCAGGGGGATACAAATACACTATGGTCCATGATTGCAACGCAAGCATCGTTGAAATATAGTGCATACTAGCTTTTACCCGCGTTGAAATTGACAACAGCGACCTCAAAAATTGAAATAGTTTCAGTATTCCACAGCTTAATCCTCCGAGAACCAGTCATGTATTTCTACTAAAGTTTTGAATCCATATCAAATCGACTCGTGGTATCTGAATTTTGGTTGCGCAGAAGATTTATCTGTCAATGTCATTCGTGGTCAAGTCACCGAATAGCAAAAAGTCTTAAGGGTATCTTCCATGCAGTAATGCATTTGCGCCTTCAAAGTGCCCACCTGATGTTATGTTAGATATATGTCATTTTCATTTCATCATCTGAATAATCCGAGACTTACGAGCCCCAAAAGACGTATTCTAATAATTAATATCCAAGGTACGGACGTATAGAGTTTCAAGTCAGATTATTGGATATATTGTGTCCAAGTGTTGGAATAATGCCTGGTGCACAGGGCATGAAATTATGGTTACACAGAAAACAAAATGGGGTAACAAAAATCAATGGTGCCGAAACTGGATCTTCAACAATCTACTGTGGTATTGCTTATAAGTGACAGAACAAAATTCCAAACAGTTGAAAATATACAGGGTCGCTGATATGTATGGAAACAGATGAATAACTCGGTAACCTGTTGTTGGAATTTTTTTAAATTTATGTACTGTGTGATTTCAAGACCCGGCAGATTTGAAAATGTTATAACCAATGTTGCCACTTTTTCAGTTATTCCGGATTTTTCATCAACTTTCTTATTTTGAATAAAACACCCTGTACTTTATTGGATATTCAGATTCTCCTTGAAGAGCTGATTCCATCGATCTATCACACTTGGGGTCTAGCGGGAATGATTACATAGGTATAGGGTGTTTAAAATCTAGAATTTTCAACTTTAGGAATCACATATTCACCCGTTTCCATACATATCAGCGACCCTGTATAGTCAATAAAATGTTGAGTTGCTGGATTTTAAAATATTTTGACCAACAATCGTGTCTGCCAAAATAATGTCTTTACCCTCTATAATTTTTTTGTTCTTCAATAAATAGTTATTTATTATACAAGGGAAAAAAGTAGTAGATTTTAGCTCCAGGTTGTGTTGTCTCCCGACGCGTAGCGGAGGGAGACAAAAAACCGTGAGCTAAAATCCAATATTTTTCCCGTGTATGATACACTATTTTTTTCTGTGACAGAAGGAACGACGAATCAATGTTGAGAAGATATTACATTATTTCGAAATCTGAAAATTATCGACGTGAAATTTCAAGTTTTTAACAGTAGGGACACCTGCGTTTTATAGGCATCTTTATAATTTTTTGAAGTAATCAAATATCTGATGTCACTTCTGTCAGTTCAATTCTGTGATTTGATTTTAAAAAATTGCGAATTCAGTAGTTGTTTAGTAATATACGAAACCGCGAAGTCGAATGGAAGATAAAAAAACTTGCAGTTCTTTCTCGGAGACGGTATTATTGACTCATTTTTCGGAACTATAGCACAACAAAAGCCATTAACAGAGTATTTATATGTGATATATATCCGGGAAAAAAGTACTCACTTTTTTCCCACGAAAAAAAAAGTAATTTATGAAAAGTGACATTTTATAACCTGCCAACAGAGATGAAATGCCAAACTTTTTTCCCGTCACAGAAAAAAAGTATCTTATGTCCCTAATACATCTAAGAATATGTATAAAAAATGTCATTATAATAGGTTGAGTAGTTTTGGCGTGAAAGCGTAACAAACAAACTTATATTCACATTTATAATATAAGTTGGGATTTATTTAGCCCTAATGTTGACCTCGGAGTGAAGTGAAAATAATAATTATGTGTTTTTGAGAAAAATATTATGACATAACATCCAGAGATAATCGACCGATTTCTATGTAAAAAGTGAAATATGTAAACTTTCCCAATATTTAATAATGAAAAGTGTAATCCACCCACCTCTGTTGAGGATGTTGTTGGGGGGGCCAGGGCCTGTACGAATCTGGTGCAGAGGCTATCCTCGTGACGTGCTGGTGCATATCCCAACCGTGGTGGCCCATATAGGGCGTTCCTTGGGAGCCAAGGGACATGTGACTGCTTTGGGCGCTCGATATTGGAGGGCCTGGATACCTGCAATGAAGAAGAAACTCTACTAAAAAGGATCAATTATTGATATGCAATTGAGATGTTCAGATAGTTCTTAAATAGAAATATATGTCTTTCCGTTCTGTCCTCTTCTTCAGGGTTCCAAGGTAAAATAATGAATGTAATGTTGGTTACAATGAGAATGAGAAAAAATGGAGAAGAAGACCACACAAGACCACAGAATGGGAAGACACATTTTTTCACACTCAAAGCTAGCTGAACTTCTCTGATGAAAAATTAAAACTGAATGTACATTTCACTACTTATTTAGATAGTACCTGAATTTGTGATGTTTGAGTTTTTGATAGTTGATTATTGTAAAGGAATCATTGTCAAACCGGCTGAACATTGCATTTAAGTTTCCTCATTCAACATTTGCACTTCTGTGCTGTGTTGCTACACCTCGGAAGCTATTTCATTCCATTCAAACATGTTTTTGTTGCAAATGATGTGCTTATACTTTGCTCAAAATTCGAAAGATTACTGCTTCTAACACGTTAATTTACCTTCCAAACCTTCTGGATAAATTGAATGAGCGATGTAGCCAAGTTTATATAACTGATGCACCTTTGGTGTGCATAAACGCTTAGGTTTTATTATAAACATCAATCACATATTCACCTGTATGGTATCATATTCCGTTGTTAATAGAAGAGGAATAAAGCAACTAGGTACCCTTGCACATATTTGGATAGCAAACATTTCTGCTATTTTCAATTATAAAATTCTCAAATTTATGTAGAATCTCAACACCTTGAAACCATTCAGAAGATTTTCAAAAACATAAAAATTGAAAGCATTTGTGTGGATTCTAAATGAATAAGAAGAATAAGGCAGTCAACTCGCCAATTCCTAATAAACAGCTGAAACATCATTAATCACTTACTGGAAACGATGACTGACCTAAGACATTGCAATTTTTTCTCATTGGATATCATTGTTGTCTCACCTCATTGGTAATCTGGGGTCGGCACCAGGATTCAGTGTTAGCTGCCTTTGTAATTTCTTATGGAGATTATCCTGGGGTTGGATGTGCTGATAAGACGTGCCGACATTATCAACACTTCGACTCTTAGAAACTATGGCGTGCTGTTGCTCTTTCGGTGGAGGAACGTTGGATCTTGTTCTGCCAAGCGGGGTCTTCCTTATATCACATTCTCTTGCCTATAAAAAATCATCAAAACCATGATAGTAATTCTTTAGACTGAAGTTGCGTTGCCTCTGAAGGATGTATAAACTAACGGAATGACTATATGGTGCCTAATAGAAAATAATGGCAATTGAAATGATTTCATTTCACTATTGAGTTCAAGTTTATTCTCAGGATTTTTTGTGAAATAAAAAATACGACAAATAAATGGAATGTGATGATGAGATCATTTTCCCATTGAGAAAACTTCAACCTTGGTATCACAAATTCGAAAATCCGTGAGTGAAGGTAGTAAAGAAATAATTATTATCACAGGATATTTTTGAGTTAGGTAGAACTCAAGTTGTTTATGAATTCGCCTCTGAAAGTCTAAAAACCTACTAATGTGAAATCACACTTCAGAAATTTAGCGAGACACGCTTCGTAATTTTTACAAAGTAGGCGATATCCAAGGATTTCTGAACTCCTTCCAATAGGAAGTGATTACACCAGTTGAATTTCTTTTCACCTGTCGAGATCATAATTGCGGTCATGGTCAGCAGCGCTTTTTGAAACTACCTTCTTTCAAAATAGATAGAGAATATCCAAAAAATGGCATTCCACATACAAATTTACTTGAGAGACATTCATTCAGCAGTCTAAAAACTCAAGGAGAGTACAATTTAATGCGTTCCTTCTCAAAACAATCAATAGTCTATGTGACTCGCATTATTTGATGCAAAGAATTCAATTTCACGTTCCAAGATTGTAGCCTCAAGTGAATTGAACCTTTTACTTGCCAACTCCACGCACAAACATTCTTGCCAAATTTGGAACAGTATAAATAACCATCAATATGATCAGTTTTCCAGAGACGAACATCATTTTGGACAGTGCTGTGCATTTTTAATAAAATGAAATTAGGAATTTTTCAACATGAAAAGTGACCTCACAATATTGTTCTTGATGGCCCCAAATCCCCATATGTGAATTGTCATATGATGTCCATTGAGGGTTCCAAAAAAACAGGCACATTTGAACAGCATTTTCCCGAACGGAATAATTATTTACTCGGAAACAGTGTGTTCAACAAACCATAATTTTCTACCTACCAGAGCAATTGTACTTCCCAAAATTTGCAGCTAATTTAAATTCACTATTTTTTTGAGGCAGAAAATGAAAAAAATTAAGCCCATCCTGTTAATTCGGAATGGGGTGATTGTTTGCATATGGAGGTTCAAACGTATGAGGAACAAAAATTTGAAGTTCGTTTTCCAGCAAATGAATGTCTCATGATTTTTAAAAAAACTGACCCTTGTTCCTTCAAAAACCCACGGCACTGTTCAAAATGATGTTTGTCTCTGAAAAACTGATTATATTAATGGTTATCCATACCGGTCCAAATTTGGTATGAATCGCACAGCTAAGCTGAGATATAGAGGGGGAGCATTTAAAGTGGGACATGATATACAGGGTAACTCACCGATGGTACGTTAGACGTTTATGGAGAACACAACGCAGGATTTATCTGAAAATTTCGCATCTAACATTTTATCACCTGTTCTATCGATCTAAAATATTTTCGAAATTGCGACGTTGCCGTTTCTATCAAAAAGTCCTAGCAACTTCATTTTTTTAAATGGAACACCCCGTATATTAACAAATTTTTAGAATCGCCTTTTTATTACAATACTCTTTTGTTGATGAATTCCTATACCTATCTCTATCGGTTTTCGAGATAAAAAATAATGTGTGTTAAATATGATCCAAAACATATCCCTAATTGAACATTATGTAAATCAGGGCTCTAGAATCATAAAGAGTTGATATTTTAGTGGTGGTTTGGACAGGCTTGATGTATTCAATTTACACCGAGAAGTCGCCTCCATATCATACAGGGCGTGCTGAAATTATTATTATATCCGTTGTTCATACAAGTGGTCAAAAGTTCATTTTTTCAAATGGAACCCACTGTTTTTTTATTCAATAAATTGAAAGACGAATAAAAATGCTACAAGATGACATAGCATGTCCCTATAACTAAATCATCAAGTTTTCTTAATAACGCCGCTTTTTGTGAAAAATATAAAATTTTATGAAATAGTTAATTTTAGATAGCCATGGAAATATCAAACTCATGACAGTTCGGTGACATTAATGAGTAATTCAGTAATTGTTATTGACAGTGTTTCAAAAAATATCCCAGAATGAAGCGAATATCGATTATTCGAACGAAGTTCTTATGAAGATATTTATTATACACGGACAATGTGATCAAATCATTGCCAGAACTTGCAGAAAATTCAACCAAATGTATCCTGAATTGACACCAATGAACGAGAGGAAGTTTGTAAGATTACAAAATAATTTAAAGAAAGAAAAATTCACAAGCTTGTCAGTGACAATTTGTATTGAAAAAAGTTTAGAGAAGAGAAATAAAGGTATATAGAAAAAATATCAAATGTTTACTTAGCTTTGGACGTTTTAGGAAAATTCTTTAAACGCAGTGACCTTTATTGGCAAATCATTTGTGATTTGTCCTTAGTACATGTATATTGAAATAATATTCATATTTTTATTTTATAGAAACGAGAAAATCCGAAAAAATCTGGAATAATGAGTAAGTACTTAAGTGTTCTAACATCATTCTATTGATTTTATAGATGATGCCAACCAGGCACCATATTGATTCTAACCTGAGTTGGAATGCCTAATTCAGCAGATTAGATCTTTCTCTTTTTGTTAGGCAATAGTTGTAAATTATTATTCTTGTTTACTTATATTCCTGTAGATCTTAGTTAGTAATTGGATTTATTCTGTGAACTAGAGAGTAGCATGTAGAAAAGTCTTCTCCCCCACTAACCTGCAAGTGCCTCTGCGCGTGCTCCGACAACCGCTCGGTGACACTCTTGTGCGGCAGCGGCCCCCGCTCCGGATGGTGGTACTTGCACTTGTTGCCGTACGTGCACTTCTTGCCGTAGGGGCACGGCGGCGGCGGCTCGCCGCGCCTCGGCTGGCACTTGAGGAAGTTGTCCAGCGTGGGGCCGGACCTGCCCAGCGGGTCGTCGGGCGGCATGAAGTGGTCGTTGACGAAGGAGTACATGAGGAGGCGCTCATCGACCACCTTGCGGAACTCGGCGTTCTCCTGGCACAAGTCCCTGCAAAAGAACATTCTCTGATGTTGCAGGTTTCCATCATCTAGTTACCGTTACCTCGCTCAAAGAGAGCTAGCTTGCTCCTATCACAGATTGATGAATCTTACAGATGAGAGGGGTCAGGTAGCCGCGTGGTAGAAGCGTTAGTATTCTAATTTGTTTATTTATGTATTTATTTATTTATTATACATCCAGAAGGCCCTAGAGCCCAATTACAGGTGTACATACTTACAAACTGAGTGATTGGAACAGAAAAGTTATACAAAATATCAGTTAGTTTATTTATTTAATTTATTCATTTATTTAATAAACGGATTCACCTTTACAATAGAAATTAATTATATATAATCAAGATAGCATAAGGACAATAAGATCACAGTATCAACAAATGAAATTCGACAATAAAATAAATTTAACTTTTTTTAAACACTACATCTTGTTGAAACTATTTTCTATTTACAGCCATTAGGTTGAAACATTACATTCTGCCTAAAGAGAATGAAAAAAAGGGAAAAGAGAAAAAAAAAGTATCAACTAAATTAATGGTGACTGATTAACCTAGGATCAATTTTACAAATTCTATTTTTAAATATGGCTAGACTGAACGAACGGGTCAATGTTGAATGCATTGAGATTACGCAAAATGCGGGAAAAAGGGCTGAAGAACCCATAGTTGGTTCTATGATTATTTATAACAAATAATTCTGTGTTTCTAGTAAAATATGAGGGAACATTGAAGTTAATCCTATTGAGAAGTTCATAGCAATCAATTTCACCTAAGATAATTTTAAACATAGCATAACTACCTAGCCTGAATCGACGGACAGATAAATTGGTTAGGTTGAGGGTACCAAGAGTATCCGAATAGTTGAAATGATGGTAAGTTCCCATTTTGTATGATATATGTTTGGCGAATCTAACTTGGGCTTGTTCAATTAGTGTGATATCACATGCTTAGTATGCTGACCAAATGATACAAAGATAATAGGTATCGACAGTAGAGATATTGTTTACACTTCTAGACATTGATGTTATAGGCGAGTGGAAATTGTGTAGCGTGTTAGGTGCTCGAGGAACATTGAACATCATTATCATCATGTGATAGGATAGTAGAGGAATAAGCCTCTTATTTCACGATGTTTTTTTGGGTGATATCAAAATGAACTCAGTAAGGAGTAGGTCATAGTTATAGCCTCTTGTAGGATAATCACCATGCCTTTTATAAAATGCAAATTTCAAAAATTTCCTCTGAACATTCTCAATAGCTGAAATATATTTGCCATAAGGCGGATTCCAAACAACACTACAATAATCAAGCTTACTTCTGACTAACGTTAGATATATGCGGCGGGGAGCGGCTCAGAATACCCCCCATGGTAAATCCTGCCTGTCGTTAAAGGCGACTAAAAGGATGACTTTAGGTGGTAGATGGTCTCATCGACCGGTGAAATACCACCATATCGACTTTGTGTGCTGTGAAATGGATCACTTCATGTTTCAGTGTTCGGTCGATAGTTTCCGGTCCCCCCCCCTTTTCCCCAATTTCTCCTGTCTATGAATAAAGATGAAGTCTCCTAGAGTAAAACACTCCGGAAGTGAAATACCTCTCCATTCGGATTTCCGGGCGAGAGGTACTCGAGGGGACTCATCTCTGAAGATTAATTTTTGCAACATCCGCGGACTCAACAAAAACATCAATGACGTCCACCATCATCTACAAACGGAAAAACCAGATATTCTGGCACTAACAGAAACTCAAGTGAACCAACAAGGTCCACATGCTCTGTCCTGGTTACGAACTCCATTCTCGATTCAGGTTCAAAGGTGGAGACCGCCTCTACGCTAAGGCTAACCTTACATGCCAGCATGTAGAGAGTTTGGACATACAGGAGAACCATCCAACAGCTGAAATCATAATTATGGGAGACTTCAATGTACACAACGCAGCCTGGCTCAAATTCTCTAACAAAACAGATGATGCAGGTCGTCAAACTGAGGCCTTCGCCATCACTCACGGTCTAGAACAACTAGTCGAACTACAAACCCGCATTCCAGATGTCAACAACCAGTCTGCCAATACACGAGATCTTTTTCTCACCAGCAATCCTGATCCATATAGAATAGAAGTTCGTGCCCCACTTGGAAACTCTGACCACACCCTCATCTCCGCAACCTGCTCTTTCCATGTACCATCCAGCATTTGTTTCATGAGCTATTTATGTCGAAATGAATAAGATATATTATCCGAAAAATCCTCTCGAATTATCGATTTGACAGTACATTTTCATTCACCACTTATGGGCATATAGACATAACGTCTGAACACTACCAGCTTTAACCGAACGCCAGTAAAACTCTTTCAATCCCGACCATCCAGTAAGACAGACTGGTTGAAAAGATGGAGAATTTGCGAGCCGTTTGTGCTTGGCCGATAAACTAAAATGTTTTCTGTTCTCAATTTATTCCCGGTGCGTATTACCTTATTCTTATTTGATCACCCTCATTCAATATTTCAAATGGTACACCTATACACCCACAACCAATCCACACTTTTTATACAAATAAAGTCATTTCTTCACCGCAAAAACTAAATAACCCCAATCCACCCACCAAAAAGATACAACACTCCATAAGTTACCACAAGAATGACATTCCAGGTGAGTGGTCGCTCAAAAACGCTATGAATTTCGAAAAAGTGCCAAAATCGACCTAGAAGCGCCTCATTATTATAGATTATGCAGAGTCAGAATTGAAATACCGCCAAACTGATCGGAATTATGCAGTGAGACTAGAACCTTAGCGTCTACGTGAGTCAGTGATCGAGTTAGAATCTCTCAAGTTTCCGAACAGAATTACATATGCATGAATTTTACGTGAATTCCCTTTTATAGATCTATATTGGGGCGAACATTTTGTGTCATCATATGCATGGTAAATTTCAAGAACTGGTAAATGTAAACTGGTAAGAAAATGGTAAGAAAATTGGTAAAGATTATGTGACTTATATCTGGTGCTGATAAATGGTAACACAATAAAAAACAAGAAATCTTCAACTTTAGCTCTTAGTCAGTGTTGTACCAAACAAATATACCATGTCTTCAGAACCAGGTGGATAGGAACTGACAGGTGGCACCTCAGTCACGATGATGATAATCTGCGAAGAACATGCCTTGAAGATCTAGCTGGCACTGCAGAGAAGACTGCGGAGACGTCTGGAGAGGAGAATACAGAGACGACTGATGAACCAGAAGCAGGTAGCTGAGCCTATCAACCCAGAGGTTCTGGGAGAGGTTTACAGCTCCAACTCAGGTGTCTCAGCAGGTGTAGTCCAAGGGGCGCCAGAAGATCATACGTAAGTTGCTAGACGAAGTGGTCGAAATCACGAATCCCAATAGCAATATCCGCAAGAGTACCAAATGAGATGGCCGGTGTGGAACCAGTGGAGGTATCAGAAATAGTACGACTCGTCGAGGTGATACACGAGGTATCGAACGGGGTATCCGTTGAGGCCCACAAATCTGCGGCAATACACCAAATTTATAGCCACCAGAATACAGAAGTCAAAGAAGGGTTTTATCCCTATTAAGTTTGAAAATTATCCCTGAGATCAGGAAACTACCAGGAAAGATTACAAAAGAGTGATCGGTCTGCATCTTGTACGAAACCATGATGGGGCCGAAGGAAATGATGAAACGACGCCACCAATCTAGGAAGGGACAATTCCACTCAGAAAAATCTGTGAAATTCCCTGCGCAACTTGAAGTTTTGAAGACAACAGGAAACGTTGATCACGTGATGTGCATCCTCATCTTGGGTTGGTCGATTTCACAGGCATAGCTACACAACTTACGAGACTATCCTATCTACTCCGAGGCACGAGAGTCCACAAAATAACAAAAATATGACCACGGAAGACATAGAAACATAGCCCGATCCACCTACACTGATGATTTTGCAGCCAGCATACTTTTAATGGTACTTTCCAGGTATGACTCGTATGACGGTAAGTGACATGACTTGACAGCGCTGTCAATATTTTGAGACGTCAGTGTCAAAAATACAATAACATAATGTCAATAAATCATCAATTTTTATTGAATAACAATATGAAAACAATAATTTCAAAATTCATCTCAGACCAAAATAATTAAGGGAACATAGCGGAAATTCTTATAAATTGTTAGGATGTTTTTTCAAACCTAATAATGAATCTAAAATTCAAAACTGTTCTACATTTACTAATTACATATTTCTTGAAGTGCCATTTCTAGGACATCTTTCCAACCTAAGCCTACTATACTGATGAAGAATCAAGCAGCTAAGTTCTAGTGAGTATTCTACAACTTCATTATTATTTTATACTAATGTGTTTTGATATTTTCAGGTAAAGGACCCCTTTACACTCTGGACCATTGGAGGAAGAATAATTCAAATACTCAAGTGCCATGTCCTTTTATACATGAATAAAAACATTACATACAGTGTGAGTGTCTCTCAAGTTGTTCAAACCGAAATCTATCATCAAACACCTGATACACAATCAGGCGCGTATCTGAGGGGGAGGGGACAGAGAGGGTAATTACCCCCCCCAAAGCCCCTCCTCAATCCTCGAAAAATATTCACAAAAAATACAAAAACTTAATAAATTGATAACCAGGACACAGAAGTTTACTGTTACTCAAATATATAACTATTATCAAAAACACATTATTACCCCTATTATTTTTCGTCCGGTATCAAGTATGGTACCCATAGAATGACCATAATATAAGAGTCTCATCATTGGTGACTCTTTTTCCACTTTTCAATAATATTTTGTCATTTTTGTATAATTGATATGGTTTGACAAATTATATGATGCTCGTGAAGATTTTATTTTGCCTAAATCAGTACTGAAGTCGCAGATCTGTATGATGTTGATCTAGAAATATGAGTTGACATGATATGACATGTTTATTAATGTGTGATTTGATCAAAGATATACTTCAAATACGACCGCGAAATGTATTTTGTGATTCACCAATGTGTGTACCTACCTCATAATACCGAATGTAATTTTATAGGAAAATGTATCTTCATTATGTTTTTTATAATGTGCTTTTTTATTCTGAACAGATTTTAAATGAATATAGTTTTCAGAAAATGACAAAATATGATCACGGAAAAATGTCGCTTCGCTCGCTATAGCGACTTCTAGCTTCAGCAGCTGGCAACACTGACCCTAGCTGTAGCCGTCGGCCTAATTTATGATTTTTCTTTTTTTGTTCTTTCAGTTTGAATGTTCTAATTGATTAAATAAGTAATAAGGTAACCTTATAATATATGATTGTGTGTACCGACACCAGCACTATGTTTGTTCCCATATTCAGTGGTTGTTTTGTTGATTTTCGTTTTTAATAATACTCATTATCAGGTTTAGGTATGTGGATACTGAATACCTAGTCATTATTTTCATATCGTTCGGACTATTGTTCCTTTTTTATTGTAATGTTTTTTGTTGTTGTACCTACCTACCTTTTCCTAAATTGGATTACCCCCTCCCTCGAGTAAGTGGCCAGATACGCCACTGTACACAATGAACTTCACCTAGGAACTGATAATTAGTGGAAAAAAGTAAATTTTCACGTTACAGCTCCTATCCAATGTGATTGAAAAAATGATCTACCCACCTATAGTTATCGTTGCTGACGATAACCCCATCGGTCTGCGCGGCCAGCTTCAGCACGTATTTGTCGTCAATAAAACGATATTGGCCTTCCAGGACTTTGAGTTCTGTGACGTCACCATGGAGCCTGCAGGCCTTGAAGTTTCGACGGTAACGCTTATGCTCCTATCCAATGTGATTGAAGAAAATGATCTACCCACCTATAGTTATCGTTGCTGACGACAACCCCATCGGTCTGCGCGGCCAGCTTCAGCACGTATCTGTCGTCAATAAAACGATATTGGCCTTCTAGGTCTTTGAGTTCTGTGACGTCACCACGGAGCCTGCAGACCTTGTAGTTTCGACGGTAACGCTTATGCTCCTATCCAATGTGATTGAAAAAAATGATCTACCCACCTATAGTTATCGTTGCTGACGACAACCCCATCGGTCTGCGCGGACGGCTTCAGCACGTATCTGTCGTCAATAAAACGATATTGGCCTTCTAGGTCTTTGAGTTCTGTGACGTCACCACGGAGCCTGCAGACCTTGTAGTTTCGACGGTAACGCTTACGCTCCTATCCAATGTGATTGAAAAAAATGATCCACCCACCTATAGTTATCGTTGCTGACGACAACCCCATCGGTCTGCGCGGCCAGCTTCAGCACGTATCTGTCGTCGTAGCACACCGTCCGTCGGCCGCCGACGTGCCGGCTGGGCGTGAACACCAGCAGCCGCTCCCGCTCCAGCTCGGCCAGCAGCTCCTGGTCGCGGATCGGGTTGTCGGGCCGGGGGGCCTCCTTGCGCCACTTGGGTACGAACACGGTGACGTCCGTGTGGCCGCGCGCCCTGAACCAATCGACGCATATCTTGATGCCGCGGCAGGAGAACGTCTCCTTGTTGCCGTGGCTGGAACGAAACAGAGAGTCTAAATGTCAGGCTAAATACAAAATAGATAGACACCGCGATCTATTCATAAATTATTAAAAAATATACGCCAACAATCCTAAACGCCAAACATGGATAAATGAATGAAGTCGCGAATGGTGAGGATAACTCCGTGGAATCATTGCCAGATAATCGTACTACCTATATGATGAACGTTTGGGGATCTTGTTCGAAAAATTATTTCAGTAAAATATCTGCACTCTATGAGAAACCACTGAAAGTTTTGTATCGCCTCTCATTTGATATCCCAACAAATTATATGTATGCAAATAACAGAAGAATGTTCATTGGATGAATTGTATGAAATAGATTCTCTTAATGTCTCATACAATATCATAAACAATAACCTGAAATTCAATTTTGTTTTGATAAGAAACTCAGAAATTCGTGGTCATCACACGAGACAATTAAACCTCGAATTAAACTTATTTCATCTTGATTCTGCTATTTCTATAATTGTCCAAAAAAATATTACTCATGCTGCTGTAGCTGAATTCAATAAATTACCACATGATATAAAAAATCGCAGACATATTTCAAAATTTGGAATTGAATTAAAAAAAACACACATGATTTTATTACGAAATAGATACTTTCCATCTACTGATTAGTCCCTGTTGCTATTTTTATGACGATCGATTTAGCATTTTTTAAATTTTTTAGTTTTTTTGTTGTTGTCACCCTATGTTATTTTATTATTGTTGTTTGTAATCAACTTCCTCATACCAGAATTTTATTTCTGAGTGAAAGTTATTTTTTCATTAAACAATAAACGATAATTGATATTCTTTATAGAAATACTTGATATGTCTAATGAATCGGGATTTCTTTAAATAAACTCTCACGTTTTGTAACATAATAATAAGTCATTTTGTAACGTTTTAGTGAGGTTATTTGGTATTTTCAATATTGAAATTCGAACAACTAACCCTATTTTCAACGATTCATTTGAAAAAAAAAACTTTTGACATGTAGCGAAAGTCACGTGACTCGGTAGCCAAGGTCATCCTCTGACGTTGCGATGACATAAAAAGTAAGGGAAAACATGTCTAACTTTCAATCTAAGCTAAGAGTTAGGAATGTTTTCCCGTAGTTTTCATGTCATCGCAACGTCAGATGATGACCTTGGCTACCGAATAACAACCGAGAAAACTGTCATTCTCAAACAAAAAGGGACACTGTACTAACCTAATATATTCATTAGGAGTATTAACTCAACATCACTGAAATCGCGAATCATTGTTGACCATCACAATATTTTCTCAAAAAAATTAATAGTAGAAAAATGAAAAAGTTAACGGTATCGAAGGTACACTGGGTTCAAATTGATTTTGGAAAATTTTCACAGGCGAATGGAATTTTCAATGATGTTTTTTATACAGGGTGTTCTGAAATTCCACACCGACTACGCTGGACGGGTGATGACCCTGATGGTTTTATAATTACTAAGATAGAAGAATACGGTCTTCAAGTGTTCTGTTTTCGAGATACAGTGTGTTGAAATTGACAAATAAAAAATGTTTTTTTCACTATAACTCAAGAATGGTTGATTATTTCACATTAAAATTCGTTATATGATTTCATCTTTGAATCGGTAATATTTTGACGAGAAAGTCATTTCGTACCTCTGATATCTAGTGTTCTACGCCACCGATGAGATTCCGAATATTTTCATATGTCTAGAATAGTTCATTGCACAATTTCTTTCAAGAAATGCATTACCATCAAATGGACTAAAATGAATAGTTTTTTACCCCAAAATAAAAGTTCAGTTTTATCTAATACTATCACAGATACAGCACCAGCATCTCGACCAGCATACAGAATAAAATTGGTAAAGGGTCTGATATACCACTATTCATTAATTTAATGGAATATATGAGGCTTTATATGGATTCTCGTGGTACCCTCATGTTTACTACGTCGATTATTTCAATCATATATACGCAAGAAGACTTGATAAGGATTTGTAAAGCCGCGACACTCGTGTCAAGGCGTTCAAAACATTGGTTTAAGTTGTGGTAACAGCATAGTATGAAAATTGACATCAAATTCTCAGCTTCAAACACATTTCAAAATGATCATCTCATGCATCAATAATATCAACAAGACGTTCAAAATATTCGTTTAGGTTGTGGTAACAGCATAGTATGGCCACGTTCATACCATGTCTTGGTAAGCTGAATAATTACTATATTTCGACTAAATGTGTGGTATAAACTGTATACTTGGTTGGTTTGGTACCGAAATTGGTTGCGTATCAGACTAAACAAGTATGATGACCAAGACGGTGTAAACATATTGGCCTATTTTGTATAGCCTTGTGACTTGAGTGCAAGTGGCAGTTATCTCATGAGTTCTCATAACAATATTTCATTCAATTTCAGTTAATTTCGTGTCCTACAAAAAGGTTTTATTCTTAGGGTGACTTTATTGAAACTTCAAGCATTTACGATTGAACTTTTAAACATTTAAACATTTAAGATTCAAGAGTCTTAAATGGATTCAGTTATAAAAAAAATAAGATTCTAGGGTGATACATGTCTTCTGTCATTACTGACATCTAGCTTCTGATACAGAACCAGATTTTCAAAGTTTAGTGAGTTAAGAAGCTGGTTGGAAATCAAAATTTCATGTTCTGATATTATTCTATTAATTTATATTAATATCCCTAAAATGATACCCAGATCCATATCACATCCTTATCTCCACATTATTTGGAAAGTAATCACTATTCCTTGCCTAACAGAAACTGGCTCACTCCTTGGATCTCTTGACAAATATGGAAGCAACAGAGTTACGACATTCTAGAGTATTTTTGAAGAACGGTTCAGTATCCATCAGAAGAAAAGCAAATGTCCAGGAATAACAACCCACGATATTTTGAATGATTTTTGAATGGCGGGAAATTGAGATGTCACTTTTGGATGCACACTCCTTATTCCACTTATGATCATTTATCAGCACTTCTTAAGTTGGAAGTTGGTCATCTTCTTGAATCTTAAATGTTTTATAGTAAGTCTTGAATGGTTTTATAACATAACCAATAATATTTCCATGTTCCATCTGTCATAAGAGATACGCCTTAAATGTTAAGTGATACATCTTAAATCTTAGTTTTTCATAAAGTGGCCCTTAATTTACGAATTCAAGTTCCACGTTACTCAACTAAAGATACATGGTGTAAACATTCGTTAACTAAGGCATTTGGTCTGAATTTAGTTAGATCACCTTGGTAAGCAGACCAAATATCCATACGGTATAAACGTGGCCTATAAAAAATTGACATCGAATTCTCAGCCTTGAACATGTTTCAAAATGATCATCTCACCTCATAGCTACGTTACTACCATCTATGACTATCGGACGTAAGGACTGCGTTCCTTCTATAGTCTCCATCTGGAAGGCAGTCATGTCGAGGTTGCCATCCGTAGGACTACTGTCGCAGGAACTGCCCTTCTGGGCGCCTAGCTTGATGAGTTCGGCCAACAGTTCATTCTGAGTGGGCGAAGCACCCAACTTCTGTAAGGCAGCCTGCACCAATTTCTCCGTGTAGCCCAACTTCAAGGCAAACTCTACCCTGAAAAGGAAAAGAATAGTACAGGGTGAACAACTGAGAACGACTGTCGGCCATATCTCAGCAACGAACTTCAAAAAAATATATATCTCAAGAAAAGGGACCCTAAAAAATAGGTGGAAAATATTTGTAGGTTTCTAAAATACCCGCTAGGTGGCGTAACAGCTGAGTTAGGAGAAAATTGAAATTTTCTGCGTATTTAGTAGTAACAAGGTGTACTGAAAACATATGCAGCTTGATCCTTGATAAATTCCTAGTTTTTTTTTTTGGTTCACACTTTTTTTCTCATTTAAAAAAATAAAGTGGTGGGGGAACGACAAATTATGTTTTTTCTAAACGACTGTAACTCTGGTTATCTTCAACAGAATTCAATAATCTTGGGCTCGTTGTAAAAGCCCCTCCCTGTTCTATCAACTGTGATTCGAATTGGTTTCATATTTATATCACGTATGTGCCTGGTCAAATAACAGACTTGACACAGCCTATGTCTGCATTCGTTCAATGAAGGGGTACAGGAAAATGACATTCCATCTCTTATAAAACATATTTGTGTCTCATGATTTTTGTTCAGCTGTTTACCCAACAATCTAAAACTCGTCTTGGATGGTATCTTCTTCACTCTTCAGTTTTCAATCTTTTTTATCGGCCTCTCTTGGCCAACTTTGATGGTTCTACGAATATGAAACGTCCCGTAGAGAAATCAATATCACCACGTTAAATCTTATCAAAAGTTGCTATCAAAAAGTGTTTTCAGTTTTCGTGTATCTCTAATAACGTAGAAAAAAGATGTTCCCCCTTCCCCAAAGCTCAACCTATTCATCATGGTGCGGGGAAGACAAGCCGGGGCTGATCGGCAGATGTGAGCATTATGTAGACATTTCCGTTCTAATCACTTTGTGGGCATCTGCATGCAAAAATGGGACATTTTGCAGACATCTGCTTATGTGGCCGCGGATTGATGAACGATCTAGTCTCTGGCAACCTAATCAAACTTGTGGGAACCCGTGACGAGGGAAGAATGGCACCGAGGTTATATTATGGTGTTAACGATACCTCTAGGAAGAAGAGTGACATCTCAGAGTAAACAACCTTAGTTTTGTGCAAGGGGCCCCACAGGGCTGGACCAACTTCCTTTCCCCATTACTCGTAGAAGAAGGAAAACTTTTGGCCTTCTTCATGGACGAGATCACGGCTCGGAAGAGTAGTCGTCAGAAACCTGAACTGAAATGGTCATTCAAACGAACCTTTGGTACTGTGAGCGGCAGTGCTTACAGTTACTGAGATGTTATGTGGCCCTCAAACAGGGTGAGTGAAAAATGTGGTACATTGAAAAATAAGTATAGCCCCAAAAGGTATATGAATGGAAATATATCCTTCGAAAATGAAAGAAAATGGAAATAATTTTCCCGCATAACTTCTAATCGGTAAAAGCCGCAAGATTAGAAGAGAGTACCGTTTTTATGTAATTTTTTCGCTCTATCAAATACTTCTTTTTTTTCATTTTTTCACCTAAACGAATACAAGGAGGGAAGTTGTCTTCAAAAAATCATGACCCACCCTCTGAAAACACCCTTTATAACAATATCAGAAATGTAGAAGTGTATCAGAAAAATGTATTTTTCTACGGCTATATCACAAAATTGCTCTTGTTTTACTGTGTTCGATACATCAATTAGGAACTTTGTATGTCATCAATTTTATTTCCGTATCTGATATCACAATGACTTCATTGTGTTATTATTCCAAAAAAATCAGATCGCTCATGGAATGTCAAATTGCAAGCAATGACAGCTTTGTCTAATAGATGAGCATTACTTGACAGGAAATCAGATGGCTACAAGCCGAAGAAATCGAAAATGCCGCTGTTATCTGTTACAGCCGTAGAAAAATTATAGTGTATAAATGCACGGAATGCTAATTACCTACTTCCTGCAGCAGTCGCCTATGGCTCATGCTGCAAACTTCATTCTCGTAGGGAATCACTATCATTCCGTGCTCGTTAAACAATATACTATTTATCAACATACATTTATGCAGGAATCTGGTGGCTTTCACCATTTCAAAGTCATGTGGGAAAATTATTTCAATTTCATCAACTTTGGAAGGATATATCTCCCCAAACTAGACATATTTTTCAATGTACTATCACCTCCAGAAGGCTCGGTACACATTTTTGACTCACCCTTCATAAGGACCATAGGTGGTATATGGTAAAATCAATAAGGCATATTCGACGTGAGATACAATGGGCCAACAGGCCAAAGTGTCATCAGCGAAGAGACATTGTCGACTTCCGTCAGACGACCCTTGAAAGGGGGGTGGAGTGTTTAGTAGAATAGGTACACCTCTTGCAGGGAGTCCCATACTACCATAAAGGGAACGGTCTTTCGGGGTGTCCATGAAGAATTTCGACCACCTCCGAGGATAATGACATAGTTTTCTGACCAGTCAAAAAACGAAAATGAACAGATCATCAATCACATGAATTATTTTGCATATTTTCGTTGAAAAAGTGAGCTGATTCGATCCCGAAACCTTCAAAATATAGGTAAGTGGACTGTTTTATGTTTCAAACAAGGTGTCACTGACTATCAATTACATTTTTCTGAATAGTGGAATGTTGGGGGCCAATCATCTGATTCGTTCTTATTACAAGAACATTGAAATTATACTAATATTTTTATTAATAGGGACGAAAAGTAAAAATCTCAAAAATCTAGAGAAATGAATATGAATTACAGTTGATACTTTCTGGATACTTCAACTTACGCTTTCTGAATATATGTTACACTTACTGATTAACAATTCACTAATCTGAATTACATATTACACATTCTCAAATGGAATTCACTAATCTGAATTACAGGTTACAATTTCTGAATTCCATTTCATGGATATGACTTAAATTTAATACTTTCTGAATTACAACTGAAAAGATGTGGTTCGTGTAATGACAGATAGACAAAAACAAACACTTAGTTCTTCTGATTAAGATACTGTGCATTTGAACAAGTAAATTTGGAATGATATTCTCTGACGCACTTACTCAAAAGATATATCAACATAATATTATGTATCGCCTGATCAATATGAACGTTTAATTGGCGGAAACAACCTAGGAAACTTTCAAATTAGTTTTAGATGCTGGTTCAGATTATTTTAGTGAAACCTACATTTTTACTAGTCTAAGCATATCATTCACATTTATGCAGTAATAACCCCTTATTACCTACTTTCTTGATGAATATGATTTTTTGACTGGAAATAAATATTATTGCCATTTTGATATCAACATAATTTTCTGGAGTGGTTTCAGAATGGTTTCTTCAACATTTTTTAATGTCAATTTAAGTGTGTTCTTGAAGAAGGTAGTATGTTTATTGCAGATGATTTTTAGATGCAATGACTAAATCCGATTGTTACGATTAGAGTCACTGGATGTTATTGGTTTGATAAGAGTTCGGACACAGAAATGACAACGGTTAGGGTTTTTGAATGTTTAGATTCATTAATTTTCACACCTTGCATTGTGACAAGAGCACCATAGTCGTCCCGCGCTTTTTCATTCAAACTTGTTTGAATTTGACAATACATTTTATAAACGTCAGAATTGAAATAAAATTTCATAATTATACATTCGAGATGAAAGCAGCTATGGAAATTACTTGCTGTGTAATAAATTGTGCCAATTCTGAAAAAAATGGATATCATTTATTCAATTTTCCGAAACAAATATCAACCATGCGCTTATGGAAGGAAGATATGAAATGGCCTGGGTGCAAAATCAATTTGAAGACGAGCGAAATTTGTGAGGTACTCATTAAAATTCACTTTTTATAACAGCATCTGATTAGAATGAAACTACTTATATTTTAGGCCCATTTTCAAACAGAAGATTTCAAAATCCGTTCGTGAGAATCTGAGGTTTCCATCAATTTACAAAGCAGGCGATTTCGAGAACTAAATTCCATTATTATCATCACACAAAATACAAAACAAAATAATCATGGAACAGAGGAAATGATCGCAAAATAACATAATGAAATTGAGAATTTGAAAACGAAACTGAGAAAAGCAAGTAAACTACAAAGTGATATATTATTGAATGGCGTTCTTGGTGCCGACCAAATTTAAAATTTAACAGTGGAAAGTGAATAGATATTTATGTATCAAATGAATTATTATAAGGGCCTTAATTACGCTGGACGTTAATGTTTTGGAGATATTTTCTATATCGATCCATGTTACTTAGCTCCTAGGGCGCTAAGTGAAGTTGCTGAGAACTTTACAAAACCAAGTATTTGGTAGGTCTCGTCAAAATAAACTACATTTTTCCTATCAAATGGTCATCGATGATTTGTTCTCTGTATTTCAGCACCCTGTATCTCCGAAATGAAGCAATTTCCGGACACAAAAGCTTATATAGACTTTATTTCTTATAATTGTCTCAGAAATACTTCACTTGAAAGTACTTAAGTTACTTCCTGTATATTGAGAATACCTACCTTTGATTCAATATAAATAACTTCATGTTTTATACTCATCACTGGAGTACATTTATATAACAGTTGTTCTGCTTGAAGTGTATCACTATAAATTGAAGTGGGTGTTTGTACCCTATACCCATTGTCCATCTACGGCTATGATTGATTTGACAGAAAATATAACCTCTAAAATCGTATCTGACAATCAGGCACTACTGGGGAAATTGAAAAGACAAAGAGCAGAATATATGTCTTATTCTTTTATTCACTCAAACCATTGTATTATAGAAAATAGAAAAGGACAAAAGTTCTGCTGTGTCCGAACTCTTATAAAACTAATACCATCCAGTGACTCTAGTTACGATCAATCCCTGAAATAAGTAGTGGCACTTTACCGCCCGCGGACTACTTCAATAAGCATTCTTATATAATTCAGGATAATTATGTTTTAGTTGTGATGGTTCATTATCCAACATTACAGTTCACTTGATACTTCTGAGATGCAAAATGTTATGATCG